AAAGAAAAGTTTGTGGTTGAAACTCGTCGAAATAAACATTTTTGAGGGTGGCCAAATGTTTTTGACTGGTAGTATATATATTATATATTAATAGTTAATAGTTCGTTTTACGTTGCTCAAAAGCTCCAATCTCTGGATCAGAGGCTTTGCTGCCGGGTGTAGTTTATCATTCATTACGTATGGCACGTAAAAGAGGAGTTTCAGCTATGACAGTTCAAAGAACCGAGAAAAAAACTTGAAAATGATATCGTACGTGAATTCTAGTAAGATGTCATTTCTAAGATACAATAGTACGAATCTTAATATATATATATATATATATATATATATATATATATATATATATATATATATATATATATATATATATATATATATATATATATATATATATATATATGTACAGGGTGTAACAGCAAAATTGTCCAAATCGTGTAACCGCACAATTGATCATCACGCAAAATGTTTAAAATCTAAAAATCCGTAAACTAATTGAGTTTTTTTTTTCCAGGTTTTCAGATAAAACGTATAGCCATCCTGATTCCAACTGTTGTAAGAATCACTGAAAAACCCACTGAGTTATTCAGCTAGAGAGAGAACGGATTAAAATCGTTTTGTGTCATCCCCACTGTCTTCCCCAATGAGCAATGACGAGAGGAAAAAAATCATTCAGGCTTTCAGTAATGGTTCCAAAATTCATACTCTGGATCCCATCTTCAATGTCCATTCAGGAACAACCACAGAGGGTAAGTTTAAAAAAGAGGGAAGAGCAAAGGGGAAAACTGGATCAGGAGGTCATAAAAGGAAGAGGGATCATCATCTTAACTTAGAGCTAAAGAGATCAATTAGAAAAGATCCAACTCAATTCATAAGACGTTTGGCACGTAAAAGAGAAGTTTCAGCTATGACAGTTCAAAGAACCGGGAAAAAGACTTGAAAATGAAATCGTACGTGAAACCTGTGGGACACCTTGTTACTCAAGGACCGAAAGTTTGAAGGTTATAAAGGGCGAAGATCATCTTGAACCAGTTAGAAAATGATCCTGGAATAATACATACATACATATATATATATATATATATATATATGTATATATATATATATATATATATATATATTTGAACTTAATTTTAATCCTTCATGAGCTTCCGATCCATAGCTATGATTAATTAATGATGAACATTTTCGTTTATTACCGATTTCATCCCGATTCTTCTGTTAAGCTTGGAGAGTAATTATACATTCTTATTGCTCAGAGTCCAATAGTATTATAAAAACCTCAAAGAATTCTAGTAAGATGTCATTTCTAAGATATAACAGTACGAAATCTAACAAATGGGCAATTTTGCTGTCACATGCGGTATATAGATATGTGTGTGCGTGTGTGTGTGTGTGTGTGTGTGTGTGTGTGTGTGTGTGTGTGTGTGTGTGTGTGTGTGTGTGTGTGCCAGTGTGCGTGTGCGAGATCTATAATAGTATCCTGAACAAATGTAGAGATGATTAGATGATGTGGCTTATGGAAAAGTTTAAGAACGACGCGTTTCAACGAAGTCTTTTGGTCTCGGCTTCGAATTTCTGGTCGTCTCCTCTGATCTGAAATATAATTTATTTACTTCTACGTGGATGTTTGACTTTGATCTGAAGAAAAAAAGACCAACAAACCCCGGCGAAAAAAAATCGCATAATTTATAAGCTTTGGCAATTTTTTAAACGATATATATATATATATATATATAGGCTGTATCAAAAATAATTTTACAAAATTTGGAAAAGGGTTCCTGCCACCGAGACAAGGTAAAATGTCCATATAGACATACGTCTATCATGCCATCTTTGCACCTCAGTACAGCAACTAATAACACATGTTCAAAATGTCCAATGCTTGCACCTACACAAGCATGCACCCGTCAGATCATTGGCTGGCGTACCCTTTTAAATACTCCCACACGCTGTAGAATGGTTTCGCAGGCTCTCATGATTAATGAAGCCTCTCTGCATTTTTAATGCCTGTTGCATAAATAAATAATTTTAGGTATTCCCACAGAGAAACATCCAAAAGTAAGAGGTCGGTGGAAAGTGCAGGCCATGAAACCCGTCCTCCACTACCTATTCATCTTTCATGGTAAATGTCAGCCAGTGTATCGCGAACAATGTGATTAAAATATGCTGGCGCCTCGTCCTGCATGAACCAGATGAGTCTTCGTATTAGCAGGGGTACATCCTCTAGCAGGTCTGGAAGTGTGTTCGAATTAATTTATCTTTCACGGAGAACGTGTTCCCTTTGGGAAACACATGAATGAACTCACATACACACGTACGTATATATGTATGTCTGTATAACATTAAGTGAGTGAGATGAAGAGGATGAGTCGTTTTCAAAACATCTTCAATGTTTTGAGTCCTATCTTAATGTGGAGTTAATATTATACCTTATGATTAAGATAATTACTAATGTTAAACGAGTAGATTTTCTTGATGTTACACTAGATCTTGTTAATGATGTATTCTAACCTTATATGAAAAATAATTCTAACCCAATATATATTCACCCCAATTCTAACTACCCTCGAGCTGTAATCAAACATATATCCTCATCTATAGTATGTAGGATTAGCAACAAAGATAAGTTTGATAAATATAGCGGTATTTATAATACTGCTTTAAAAATTAGTGCCTAAAAGTATGCTGAAATCACATATGGAAAATATGATAATGCTTATCTAAGGAAAAGAAATAGGATAATAAGTGCCTCCATTTAATTGATAAACATTTCCCTAAGTGTTGTGGTAGGATCTACCTAATTTGCATAGTGGAGTACCGACCATATAAATATGGTTGGTACCGGGAAGAGAGGATGAATCAAGAGATTCAACCAGAGACTCTGCCCGACTGCGATTCAGTCAACACATTCTCCAGGAACGGTCTTACCAGGAATATACAAAAGACTATATGTAAATATTGTGTACATTTTCTTGTTTCAATACATTTTGTTCTAAGTACATTTTGTGTTGCATTATTATTCCATGCATTAGTCAAGTTTCAACACTAAGTTAACCCTCTTATTAAAATATTTAACAGAAACACATTAAAACTAAGTTATAGCTGCACCGATAATCTTGAGAAAATTATAAAGAAACACAATAATAAAATTTTAAACCAATTTAAAAATGTGGATAACAATGCACATTCAAAGATAAATACTGTTGATAATATTAACCAGTGCAATTGCAGGAATTCTGACGAATGCCCATTACGAAACAGATGCTTAACGAACTTTCTTGTTTATCTATGTACTATTTCAACAATAGAGAATCCAGCTGTTGAAAATTTTATATTGGTATTACTAAGGATTTTTTTCAGTCTAGGTGGTACCAAACATATCTTATCCTTCACCAATAGTACTTATAAAATAGTACATCAATTTTTAAATATTTTTAGAATTTAAGTAAGCTAATAAAACTCCTAAGACAAAATGGAAATTTAAAAAAAAGCGAAAACATGTAGATCGTTAAATGGACAGAGTTTTCTATGCTTACATGAAAAATTAGAAATTATCAAATTTTCTGATAAACCCTCCTTATTAAACCAAATAAATGAATTGATTGTAAATTGTAGTCATAGTCTACATTTGCATTACAATATGTTTAAACTTTGAAATTGATAATATTTTTTCTTGTAGTAATAATCACTAGATGAACTGCGGTGCACCTTATATTGCTTGCTATTCTGTTTGTAAGACTCATTTTGATTTAATATAGCACTGTATTGAGGTTTAGTTAGTATTATTAACATCTTAGATGGACTTACAGGTGTTTAGTTACTATTATTAACATCTTGCATTGATTAGTTAGTATTATTAATATCTAATATGGATGCTCTTTACTTAATGGTTGCATATTAAATTGCCAAAGTAGGTTTATATTTATGATCTGTATTTTTTTTCCAAACGGTTATTTGCCAGTTTGTTAAAGGGAACTTTTATTAACTACAAAATTTTATGTAGTTAGCTGACCAACCATATAACTAGTTAGCATTATGTTAAATTACCTGCCCATCTCTTTCGCTTTTACTTCTTAGGACATTTGAACGTCAGGCTTCTATACATCTTATAAAATAATGTAACCATTTGTATCTGTCCATAATGAAATTGTCTAGGATTTATATGCAGACAACTTCGTGTCATGGCTCATATAACAAAATTATTTTTTTCGGTGAGTTTGAATTTAGCGTAGATCACATTCGATTGGTCAATCACGGTAAAGCGCAGAAGCCAGTTTTTAATTGTTTTTTTTTTCTTAAGAAAAAAGAGGAATTATTCCGATTTTTTAAATTAAAATAACCCTTCACTCGCCAGTAGTTTGCAAACGACACATTTGTAGTTTTGAAACATAATTGTAATTGTGTAGCGATTTTTAACATGTTTTTGTTTCAATATCCTAAAATAAATAAAAATTATATATATATATATATATATATATATATATATATATATATATATATGAATGGATAGATAGATAGATAGATAGATAGATAGATAGATAGATGGATGGATGGATGGAAAAGCAAACTGATCACATGAATTAAACGAAGAAAATGATGAGAAAATGAGAAGACAAAAAGATCAAACAAAAAAAAAAAAAAAAAGGAAAAAATTGAGAAAGTATTTATTTTTAACCAGAAAATCACCACCCTATCATAAATGGTGGCGCTGACGACACCCGTAAAATTATAACATAATCTGGGAAAAAGCAACTAAATAGGGAGGATATTTGAAAAAGAAAATGCTGACAGGAACAGCAACTCACTAATGAAAAAAAAGAAACAAAGAAAAATGAATAAACTAATAATAATAAACAAAAAATAGAAATAAGAAAGAAATAACGAAAATTAAAAATGAAATACGGAAAATAGAAATGAAGAAAAAGAAAAACGAAATGAACAAAAATAAAACAAAGAAAGAAAAAAAGAATCAAAGGAAAATAAATAAACAAAAACGGAAATTATAAGAAATAGCAAAAAAATTTTAAAAAGTGAAAAAGAAAAAACAATAAAAAAAGAAAAACATCAAGAGAAATAACGGAAAAGAAAAAAAAGAAATAATAAAAAGAAAAGGAAGAAAACGAAACAAATAAAAAATAAGTAAAAATGGAAATGAAAAAGAAATAACGAAAAAAGAAATAACATAAAAGAAATAAAGAAAAAATGTCAAAAAAAAAAGAAAAGAGAAAGAAAGAAAATAGAAATAGCCAAAAAGAAATAAGAAAATATGGAAATAAAAAAGAAATAAAGAAAAACAAATAAAGAAAAAAGAATAAAGAAAAGAAAAGAAAGGAAAAAAAAAAAACAAAGAAAAAGAAAAAAAACAGAAAGCCAGTACGTTGTAGTTGTAAGTGAAATTCTAGAATCAAATGCATGAAAAAGAAAGAGATACAAATAATGATGGCTAAAGAAAGGGAGTTAAAAAGGAAAGAGATTGAAAGCTTAACAGAAATGATTACCTTATTGTCAGACGCAAAAAAAAAAAACGGATAACAAAGCCCTGAAATTTTTATTGTGGATCTTAAGCCCTTCCCCTAAAACCGATCGCTGTTTCGTTATTATTCTCCGCACTATTTTGAATCCCATTATAAATATCTTGAAAACTTTTATTAGTCCTTACATAGACAGGAGATAAAAACATGCTGGACCTCACAAGGGGAAAAAAAGAGCTCAACTATTGAGACTGTCAAAAAACCGTGTTTGAATTACAGGTTTGGAATAGCGAAATAATATGATAATGTGCGTAAGGTCTTTGTCCGGCCCGTTACGCTCACGGATGTCTTCACTTGTCCTTTGGCTCTGCATCAGTGCTGTTAAACGGCCAGACATGTTGATATTACCATTAAGTGTTGCGGATTGTTTAGTTAGTGTCAAAACAGCGAAGAAGAGATTGGTATTATTGTTGATGGGGCCTCGTTCGGCCTGAGTAACTTTTGGCTCGTGCCAATCTCTTCATTATTCCTAGTTGCACGTCTAACGGATACTGTCCCTGTTGGTACGACGTTTGGCGCGGTGATGATGTCGGTCACGGGAAAATCAAGACGGATAGGGAACAGATATGATAATAGCTTCACTAAAATGATAACGACCAGCAATCAACCGAACAAAAGAGATTTGCCAGAATATTATGCGTATCGTAAGATTTAACATCAGGAAGAGTCAGCTGAAATATCAAAGGCGCGTAACGAAAGATGAAACAAGGCTTGGAAAATTTGATACTCACAGGCCAGCTACTTATTTGGAATAGAATTAAGGCAATATTAAAAAAAAAAAACAGGTTTGGATTGGGTTAACGGATTATCGGTGAAAAAACTGAAATCGGCGAACCGAGCTCATATTACGAACTCTTCTGTTGAGTCAAATTTCGCATAGATGCCCTTAGAAAAAGCACAAATTCTTCTTTTCTCCCCCTAGCCGTGTGTGAAATAGTACGGTAGATTATGTTCCCTTGCCTTGGATAGTAACTAGTCTAGGAGAACCCAAACAGTGAAAAGGCAACCCGGAAACCACTGCCTTTCACGAGAATGCCTAGTAGTTCATATATGATAAAGAAAATGAAGCTGTGGAGAGTCACGATCCCCTCAGTCATGAAGGGACAAGGTATTGGAAATTGTTCGAAAGAGACCATTAGTGCTGTTACGAATCTACAAAGAGTCATTTATTATTATTATTGTTATTATTATTATTATTATTATTATTATTTTCCTTGTTTTTTATTGTATACACATTTCTATCCGGGTTTTAACTAGATATCAAGCATCAGAAAGGGCTTCATAAGTTTTTCCACTAATCATTTTTGTAAAAAAAAAAAAAAAAATTTTTTTCACTATGTATACTTGGTAATTTCTAGTTAACAAACATCGGTCCTGTGTAGAAAGAATAAAACCTTTGGTTTCAGCACTATATAACCACTGATGGGTATGGAGTTTGTCTACAGCAGTCTGTTTGGTAAGGGTAGAGTATTGACTATGAAGGGGCGCTTATCTTGCCATCGTTTCTACATTTGGTATTATTATTATTATTATTATTATTATTATTATTATAATTATTATTATTATTCGCAAGGATGTCCTTGGGAAAAGCAGAGATCCATCTATTTAAAAAAAGAACAGAGTAAATAAAACAATGACCTACCTGACGAGCTTGAGGAAGTGGATAGCGGAAGAAGGTATTGGAGAGATAAAAACAAAAAAACAAAAAATACGACAAAATTTATTAAGCGCTACAACTGACGGTAAATTGTGGAGAGCCGTCAACTTGAAGGGACACGGCACATAGAATAAGAATACAGTTGAAGGATGTGTGGATAAACTTTTGTACCAAATAAAAGTGCCTTCTCGAATAATCATACCAGGGGGTTGGAACTTTTCACTAAGCATGCCGATTCAGAGTTTTAATGAATGAAGTTCTGCAAGGACCTAAAACAAAGAGTGCAAATTATATGCATATATACAATATGTAAGTGTTGATCCTAGACACAAATTGGCTAAGACTATATGATCGGCATTTTGTTCCACAAAGAAGCAGTTCTTTGGAAGAAAATGATTGAGTGGAATTTCCTTATACTGGAACACGAAGGTAATAAGAATTGTCCGACACTGCGTAAGGGGCACGGCTGATCCTAGCCGTGTCATTTTCCTGAGAAAGATATAATCCATCCCTTCTCGTCTCCAGGGAACACTGGGCTTCTTAAGATTGTATGGCAGCCATGTTTAACAGTGGGAAATTCTAAATTCAAAACTGTAGAGAGGGAAACGGGAAACTATTCGACAGTCTTTCCCAAGTATTCATTGCAATTCACTTATAATAAAGAAAATAATTTAAGAAATAATAATAACAATTTAAAGAAAATGAATTTGTGGGGAGCTATTGTCTACGTGCTAAAAGGGATTTGTTGTTAAAAATTTATAACCCAATGGAAAAACGATATGAAAAGGGAATAGCATTAGATAGTGGTATGACCATCTTCCAAGCTGTTGGCGGCGGGGGAGGGGCATATCTTACAAGTCGTCATTGTAAATTATTTTTCACGATTGATTTCAACTTAGATTCGTAAGAAAATGGCATAACATGAACTAGAAAGATTTTTTACATCACTTTTCCAAATGGAGATTGTCTTCCTTACTAGAGTAAAAAAATCGAAATTGTTATTTTTAAAAACCATACCCCAACAAGTTTGGGCATTCCAAATGGAGATTGTCTTCCTTACTAGAGTAAAAAAATCAAAATTGTTATTTTTAAAAACCATACCCCAAGCAAGTTTGGGCACTTCGACATAGTATAATGGTTAACAAGCTTCTTTCACTAGATCAATTACGGCAGAGTAGCGAGTTCGTTCCCCATTGCTTTCGCTATACTTTCAGCCTTGTGCCACATCTGAGCCACGCTTAGAGAATCACCATCTCCCATACAGGTTTTTTTGAAGTTCTGAATGGAAGAATGGTTTTTTTTCCCCGCTAACTTAAAGCGAAATCGAGCTCCAAATGCTGGATTAAATTGTTTGAAACTTTACAGGAGTATCTTTGTAAGTTTTATTTTGAAATTTCACTCTGAGATGTTACTGTTTCATTTATATAAAACAACACCAAAAATGGTTACAATTCGCAAAGAATTAAACCAAATGTTTCAAGGAAATAGCTTCATTTACAATGCAAAATATTTCTGCTGAAATTAATCTTCTCTTTCTTTTTAAAATCATTTCACTCCATGCAAGGCAGTAAAACAATTAAGACCCAAGGGGTCACTCAGTATGAAAGAATATGAGAAAAATACTATTAAATAGAGAGAACAATTAAAGAACAAGAATTAAGAAAGAAGAGGATAACGATCGACACTGCATTTAAATTTTTGAAAATCCAAGTTGACTGGGAAGCAAGATGCCGGAGTACCGTTCCACAAGCGAAAAATGCTAGAGACGAAACTGTTAGCATAGAACTTACGGCTATATCTAGCATTTTCAACAGTAAAATGATGAAACTTGCCGACAATCAAGGACTGCTCTTATATTAGTAAAGTCTATGTACTATAGTGGGCAGTTCATCGATTAACATGAAGGTATTTACAGAAAAGGCAAAGGGAAGCTACATCATGGCGGCTGGAAAATGACTGCAGCCGAGATGCCAGTTCAGGACCAGTAATATTGTAGATTATTCTTTGAACTTTATATCAAGTATCTCTAAATATATAGCAGGAGCACCAGACCATATGTGGCAACAATTTTCAAAGCATAGACTAATGGTAGACCGGAGAGAAAAAAAAATCTAGCACAATACAGTGTACCAAACTTTCTAGCTCTTTTAATGTACTTCCGTTACTTTTTATTGTATTGCTCGTATATGTGCAAAATGGATCTGTTTTGAAGATTATTAGAATATTTGTTCAAATTTAGTTTATGTAGAAATTGTTCAAATTGAGACAAGTCCCAGAAAGAGAGTTCCTGTGTGTGTACAAGAAAAATACATTTGACACACACATACACGCACAAAGATACTCACATATAAATCAAAACCAAAAACACAAAGATATTAAATGAAATTGGGTAGACAACATACACAAAACATGTTAAAAAGAGAAGAATAAATTGAAATTATTTTTTTCCTATCTTTTCTCCTTCACGCCCTTATTTGGTCACTATAACATAAACATCACTTTAGTCAGATGAAGCCCTAAAAAACAAAACGCTTCACCTGAAACACTTTTCCCCACTTTGTCATTAATATTCTTAATATATATATATATATATATATATATATATATATATATATATATATAGAGAGAGAGAGAGAGAGAGAGCAGGAGAGAGACGGGCAGACAGACAGATAAAGAAAGAGAGAGATTGCAAAGTTATGAATCAAAATAACAATGTTTCTTTTTCATTCCATACTGAGCACTCTTATAAGAATATAACAAATTTACAAACTCCCCACCTATATATATATATATATATATATATATATATATATATATATATATTACTACAAACGTTATTTTTAGTAGATACATGCGTCTAGAATGCGTATGTCGGTAGGCGAAATAAACAATGTTTTACAAAAATCGAGACGTTCTAATAAATTACGATTATCAAGTAAAATTAACATTAAATGTAATAGAAATATATAGCTCATCAGTGTGGCTAGACATGCGATTGCTTCAAGCCGATATTGAAACCCTCTAGATCATCATCTCACGCAGCGGCGAAAGGGTATTTTTAGCACATTAAATACGAGATATAAGTATTATCAGAGTGCTCAATTCATAGGGAAGAGCTTTTAGCGTTAATTAGTGGCAGCCGACAAATTCACTTTTTTTTTTCGAGATGGGGTGTATATATATTTAGTTAGCAAACATTTATCCATCAATTTTTTCTTTGAATTCAACCGATGTGTATCAATTGCATTTTTATTGAATTTTTGCAATTTTTTTATGTCATATATATATATATATATATATATATATATATATATATATATATATGCATGTGTGTGTTTGCGCGCATTTTTATTGAATTTTGTAATTTTTATGTATATATATATGTGTGTGTGTGTGTGTGTGCGCGCATTTTTATTGAATTTTTGTAATTTTTTTATTATATATATATATATATATATATATATATATATATATATATATATATGTGTGTGTGTGTGTGTGTGCGCGCATTTTTATTGAATTTTTGTAATTTTTTATGTTCTATATATATATATGTGTGTGTGTGTTTGTGTGTGTGAGAGACAGTGTGTGTGTGCATGTTCTGTTGCATATTACAGAATTCATATTTTTTATTTCCCCTTCTGTTTGTCATTTTTATTTATTATTTTGGGTACTTGTTA